ATTGTGAAGCGCTCAGCAGGTTGAAAGAAACCTCCATATGTTGGTTACCAGTGTATCAAAGTAGCAAGACAGTCATGCGACATGTGGAAGTTGACAGATTTGGGATTTTGTCTGAGATAATAACTTTTCTGAAAATACACTTGAGATGGCTAGAGTGTCACCTATGGATGCATATAAAATGGTGTTAAAAAGTGTCCTTATATAAATTCTCTTTCTAATGACCTTTGAAAAGTATTTAAGAAAGATTTAGCTGATTTCAAACACTTCCAAGAGGTCCCATCAAAGACTTGAAAAAGACCAAGGCTTGTGCTTTTTGCTACGCCACCGTCAAAATTGTTTGTTTGAGATCCTGCTACTCTTCATCAAATAGAAATGCCAACGATCATTAACAAGAATTCAAAGATCAAGAAAATTCCAAAGAAACACCATTGAAGATTAGCTTTTCCAAGTAAGGACTAAAAAACTAGCACTTCTCAAACTTTTATACACATGTTAATAGCCGATAGATCTTGCTAACATGCAGGTTCAATAGGTCTGGTGCGGACCAAAAATCTTCATTTTTAATAAGCTCCCACGGAATGCCGACCAGCTGATACTCTGAGTAGTCAAGCTCCGGGATTATATTTGATCCTCAAGTTGGAAGTGATCTCTCCCCCTGAATGCTTATAACACCCACAATGATGTTATTATATAATTTCTTGGGTTTATTACATGGATACCTTTCATTTCATCTCCACTGCAATACCTAGTACTACGCTCTATAGAAGAAGGGTTGGGTGAACAAACATTGAAGGAAATATTCATTCCTCAATCAAGAGTGGCAAATTCTGCTATGTAAAAAGATTTATGTTACAAAAAAATAAAAGCTAAAAAAATAAATAAATAAAATAAATAAATAAATAAAAGCTAGATGGGTGAAAAAAAAATTATCTCTATGAGTGAACTCTGCAAACCTGAACGCCACAGTGAAGTAAACTTTCATGTGCAACCTGCAGTGGTGGCATTTTGTCAGTGTTAGAAAATGTCTGATTTCTAGAAATATTAGTGCCTTGGACTCCTAGAACTCATCGGTTAATATCCTTGTGATAGTATTTGATCACAGAAAAAAAAAGGTAAGGTAAATAAAGCATATTTTCTTGTTCTGATTCTTTTCTGAGAAATGTCACTCTGAATATTTACTCATGAGCCTCATAGTATTTTTTCTGAAATGAAGACATAATTTAAAACAAAGGGGATATGCAGGGAGTGAAGCTTTGAGGCATAAGATGACAATCGTTCCAGAGAGATCTTTTTGTTTATTGTACAATATTTACTAGGGTAAGAAAGTGTCTTAAAATGTACTAGGGAGGCTTTTGACAAGAATGAAAATAAATAAAAAGAGTTTGTTCTTTAATAAGTACATTCCATTAACTATAATGCTATCACATATTTATAGTATTACATAGCCTTTTATAGCATTTAGCATTGAATTTGCTATCAAGTGGGCCTGCAATATGTGCCTATTGAGTGAATTGTTGAAATAATATGCACTGTGTCTAATTGGATCCATAAAAGCTCACAGGATAGTCAAGACAAATGATATTATCCACATTTAACTCATGAGCCAAGTTCAGGACAGTTTAGTGCTTTCTCCGCGGTTTTTGACTACGTGACTGAACCAGAGGCAGAATTGGGTAGTCTGTCCCATGCCTTTCCGTACCCCCTGCAGCAGAAGCATAGGAAAGCCATTTAGAAGCTGGAATATATTTTCTAATTAGAGCAAAGGGTGTAAAAGCATTTTTCCAATGCATGACACAATTACCAATATTAGTAGGTGCAATCACATGAGGATCAGATTAAGGGTAATAGTAACAGACGAAAAGAGCAAAGATGAGACAGTGGTCATGATTCAGAAAGGTGCCAAGAGAGCCTTCCAAACACCACCTGTAGCCTGAATTGTGTTAGAGGAAAGACTGGGAAATGCTAATAAGAAATCTGATTAAAGGTGGGCCTGTGGTTATAAATTGCTTTTTTAATGGTGATGATAGTAGCTGACATAGAGGATAATAGGGAGATGAGAATGTCAGTATCAATTTTTATTAGCGTCATGAATAATATAGTATTTAAATTAGCTTCTTTTGGTTTAGTATTTTTGTAAGTGGTATCTCTAGAAGCAATAACATGCTCAATGCATTCTAAAAAGGAAAACTAAATAAAGTTGCCAATATTCCCTACAAAATAGCCTTAACTCTCATACTGAGGAAAATATGCTATATTGCCTAAGATGCTCAAATTTCAGACGCAAAACAAATTCTGGATTCTAGATCACCAGAAACCTGAGGAAAAAAATGGGGGAACAAGTGTAGCCAATCAACTTGTACAAAATTAAAAAGACACTAAAAATATAACCTAGCAAGTAAATTAGAACTTTTTATCAAGAATTTACATAGAATGATCATTAGGGTCTATATCTGGGGTCAATTTAAACTATTTCAGCAGCAACTTGAGACCTACTCAGCCCAGGCATGAGTTGAAAACAAGCAATTATGAAATTAACAGTAATCAGTAATTTTTACAAACAGGTTCTTATTCAAGAAAAATAGGTGAATTAAGTTGGTTTCTAAATGTTATCAGCAATTATCACCAGCTTTCTGAGTTGGGCTAATGACAAATTAGGTAAAATTAAACATCTGATAAAAATAATTTTTAGGGAATTAGAACAATTTATTACTTTATTGTTTTATTATTTTTAATTAAAAGATATTCTTTGTTTGAATTTCAGAAAATTAAGCTTTGAGAGACACACCATAAGGGTTAAAGCATAGAATTTCAAAATCCAGCTGACCCATTTCTTTTTTTATTTATAGTCTAGGCAGGTACTGTTAATTGTGGAGGACAGAAAGCATGGCTTGGAGTTGAGAAGCTGGTCTCTGAGTCAGAAGTCTGGGTTACTAACTAGTGGTGAATGAAATCTTGGGCTATTTACATAAGCTATTCAGTTTCACTTTTTTCATCTGAAAATTGGAACTCTCATCATTTTTTTCCTTATAATGTTGTTGCGAGGATTAAATGACAAACAATGCTCAAGAATGTCTGGCATACAATAAGATCACAATAAATATTAGCTCTATTGTTATAATAAATGCTAATAAAGTAACTTAAATAGTAATTCTTATTTCTCCAGAAAGTTCTATTAAACATGTTTTCCCCCACAAAGTTGCTTCTCTCTATGAATTCCTTCTTTTTTCTCTATGAATTACATATTTCTCCTTGGCCAAAGCACACACTCATCTACTCAATATTCTCTTTCCTTTTTCATGTTATCATACAAGACACGTCACTCAAAAGGCCTCTCCCCTCCCCTCCGAATAGTTGGAGTCTCTAAAAAAGACTCTGGTTGAAAACACAACCACTTCCACAGGCGAGCAGACCGTGGGCTCGTGGGCACCCAGTTTCTGTGCAGACCAGTAGGAATCTGTTTCCCTTGATGGCAAACATCTCACCCACTTGGAGCCTTTGATCACGTAACCGTCTTTTGATCATTCTACAGGGAACATAAAGTCTCCAAACAGACAGGACTTTTAAATGAGATCAGATTTTAAAAGCAAGCATTTAAGTGAGCCAGAAAATTCAATCTTTTCATTCTGCCTCAATGTGGGGTATACTATATGTTTTGCTCTTATAAAAAGTAGTTTATCATGTAAAACTCTCAATAATAACATTGATCATGGAGGCAGGGCCATGGATTCCCTACTCAAATATTTCCACAGCTAAGGGCTAATGCATGAATGCTTGTACTCAGTTCTGGTAGATTTGTGTCCCCTTAAATGGGTGAACCAAAACTGACAGAATGAATCCTGGGACACAGAAGTAACTCAGCCCTGGCTTCGGGAAACCACAGAGCACAGTTGCCTGGGAAAATAACTATGTGAACTGTCAATGCACACATGACCAATTTCAATGTGGATCCGACACTGTTACATATCCTTCAGTTTCCAAACATTTCCCTGAGGAACACATACAGACCACTGTTGTTTTCACAAAAGTGGGTTAGTTAGCGGGTTTGGGACTTTCTGGGATTGCAACAGTAAACCTAGAGCAGAGACAAGGTTCTAATCTTGTTCCTGACACAATTTCACTACAAAATATCACCAGTACAGAAAACGTATTGGCAGTATGTGTTTATTTTCAAATATGTCCTTTAAAAAACCACACTAGCCTGGCCAGTGAGGCTCAGTGGTTGAGCATCAACCTATGAACCAGGAGGTCACGGTTCCATTCCCCATCAGGGCACCTGCCCAGGTTGTGGGCTCAATCCCCAGGAGGGGGCCTGCAGAAGGCAGCCGATCAATGATTCTCTCTCATCATTGACGTTTCTATCTCTCTCCCTCTCCCTTGCTCTCTGAAATCAGTCAATAATATATTTAAAATAAATAAATAAATACTTTTTAAAAACCACACCATACTTCACAATAATACTGTTTTTAAAAAACTCTAATTGGAGTTTATTCTGCAAAACCTATTAAGGTGGACGTTTCAGAATATTACCTGAGGTGCATTTACAATATACAAGGTGGAAACGCTTGGACCCACCCCAGTAGCTATCAGTCACATTAGAAAAAGTCACGTGGTTACCTGATAGAATTATCTGAGTATTAAAAAAAGAAAGAGTAAAGAATTTAGGACTTGGGTTATCCATTAATCAAGTTCTTCACTTACCATCAGTGCACAAACAAACCACATGTGAGGTGTGTACACAGAGGCAGCACACACTCTACGGAGAAAAGTGGAAAATTACTCACATTACAGCAAAATGCTGTGGGTTTAGTTATCACAAGAGTAGTTTGAATTGTTTTAGGTTAACTATCAATAGTTTTTCCCTTCTTTGGCATATAGACAGAGGCTATGTGAAATAAACCCATTGGCTTATTCCCCATACTAAAACAGGGATTCTGAATACAAAACATTCTAATAATTAAAGCAAATCAATATTAGAAAAAGTAATGTAGGACAAACCTTACCTGAGCTCCTGGATTAGAGAATTCATTGGCACTGTTGAAAAAAAAATCAGTTACTAATTTCAAGAACTGTACAACTGAAACTATTCACCTACCTAGACATAATGATCAATAATGGTTAGTATAGACCCCACTTAAGTTCCCACTGGTGGGTTGATCTTTTCTGGTTCTGGTTCCTTGGAGACAAGAGGACAAATGAATATGGCCCAGAACAGATGACTCTAGGTTTAGTGCCTAGGGTGACCCTGGGAACTTGATGTCATGGGTTGGACTTTCTGAATATTTGTCTTTAGAGATACATTCAAAAATCACAGGGGCATGAAAGACTTGAATTATTTTTAAAATCAATTTAACCCATTTTATTGTTTATGGAGAATTTTTCCAAAAAAAAAAACCAAACCACCACACCCCTATTTACATTTTAATTGACATTAAGCAAGTATATAAATAAAACTGACAAAAGATTTACTAAAGAATATGTCCCAAGATTTGTTTCATACATTTTATACTTAGAGAGAGGAGGATAAGCATCAGCCATATTAAATATCAACATCTTTCAAAATAAGCAATTTATAGAAAAAAAGAACTTTTGATTTTTCTTACTGGGATGATGGGAACTAAAGAAGTCCATGTTTATAAATACCTGCCTACACAAGGATAAGCAGCATATTGAGAGAGACAACAGGTGGCTTGAAAGATTACTCATGCTGCACGAGAAACAGTTGTCTCATTTCTCGACGAACATTTTGGCTCTATTTAAGAATGTATATGTATGTGCCAAAGGAATTTGAAGTAAAAAAAAAAAAACCTGCAAATTAAAACAGCCACAATTTCCAAGTATGCTAGAGTAGTGTGCTTTTAGGAGTCTAAGCAAGAGATTCAAATAATCCAAATACAGTCCCTAGGACTCTGATATTTATGGCTGACCTGAGCTTATACTAAATAATGATGCAAACCCTTTTTCTTAAATTTACATTTTATGGGATGTTTGAGTCTGCTCATGATTGCACTTCATAAAAACTTAATGTTTAGAAATACTGCATTCTAAATATTACACTACATGATGCAATTACTTTAAAGGTAACATAAAGCTAAAACGGGAAAATAATACAGTGTCAAATTTCTGTTTAGGTAAAGCCCCATATCTCATATAGCATCATTCTGTATTTTGGTTACCATGGCTAATGATAAACATAATTACCTTTTAACTAAAAAAAAATCATCCTGGAATTTATTTAAAATTTTGGAATCTGAACTTTACTCAAACAAGAATTACTGACCTTGACTACATATGTAAGCATAGCTAACAAAAGCCTTCCATTGGATTAGCCACTTTCAAGGATGAATCCCAAAACGCTTCCAAAATATCTTCCCATTGCTACCTGACTCAGCACTTCTCAGCATGGCCGACCATGAGAGGACGGGGTGGGGAACGGCTACCCAGAGTGTTTTCAGACGCCATGGTGAACCTGCAGTTGTCCATTTAAAATGAAGGGTCCCCAAAAATATAGCTAATTATAATAAAAGTTATTTTCCTTAAGGTGTATTATTGCACGTCAATCCTGTTTTCCAGATGTTGATATCATCAAGGGCCTGTTTCTATTTCAATGTTACGTTACCATCTGTTGGTTACAAAAAGGGAGGGAGAACCATTACGTTAAACCTTTCACACATTTCTTTACGGAGCTGCCGGAAATTCCCAGCAGGGACAGTCAAAAAATAAACATCATCATTTTACTGGAACTAAGTTTAGATTGGGAGCCACGAAGCCAGATAACATAAAAATCAAAACCCGTTTTGGCAATAAACGAGCAATTTGGTCTTTTCCCTCGGCCATTAAAGGTCACATCAATAATGTGAAGGTCTCCATGAAGCATTCTTCCCTCGCTGACCCTGATGTTGTTTTGCAAGATGTTCGAGTCTACTCATGATTGCACTTCATAAAAATTAGCATCCTATATCATTTGGGCTCTTCTGAGTCCTTCAACTCCTGGTTCGGAATATTCTGCCTCTCAATACCATGACCCAATGTTCTAGTTTGATCTACCAAAAAAAAGAAGAAAGAGGAGTGGGAGGAGGAGGAGGAGGAGGAAGAAGAAGAAGAAGAAGAAGAAGAAGAAGAAGAAGAAGAAGAAGAAGAGGAGGAGGGAGGAGGAGGAGGAGGAGGAGGAGGAGGAGGAGGAGGAGGAGGAGGGAGGAGGAAGAAGAAGAAGAAGACGAAGAAGAAGAAGAAGAAGAAGAAGAAGAAGAAGAAGAAGAGGGGGAGGGGGAGGGGGAGGGGGGGGAGGGGGCGGGGGAGGGGGAGGGGGAGGAAGGAAATAAGTTCTGAGGAGGTTGTCATCATTCTGCATGGCAGGGACTGGGCACCAGAACACCCATATTTCATGGTGTGGTGGGCACGGTGTCCCAGAACCTGCTTGCTAACTCACCCTTCGTTCCTTTAGAGCGGGTACGCAGCGTTTTATCTTCAGCCTCTGCATCCATCTGTAACAGGAGCACAAGTCCTGAGGTCATTCCTTTGACAGTGACCAAAATGTGAAAACATGTCACTAGAAGTTCTTAAGGTCGTGATGAAAAACAGAGTAGACTTCCATGTTCTTGAATAGCATTCTGACCCTGCAGGGAGAGAACTGTGACTCCCTCACACTCGCTGCGTTTTGGAAATACTCCTATAGATGCTGGGCCCACAGGAAACAGGGACAAGAGGGCAGATGTCCTTGTCCATAAGTGTTTGCTAGTGATTCAAACACTGTCGGCATGACAAGGACAGAAAGAAAGAAAAAGGAGTGTCTGATTAACAGCGGTTGCAAAGGAGACAAAACCTCAAATGCCAAACCGAAAGGTTTCAGACTGATTTCCTAAAACTTGATTCCTTTGCATTTCTAGACCTTTTCTGATACATACCACTTGCCAAGTTAGAAAAAATGATTCCCCATGTAAAAAAGCAACATGGAGGCAACCCCTTGAAATGTCCCTATTTCAAAATACCATTGGAAATGTTGATTAGCAAAAATGGCATATATTTACTTTAATGATTCCAGAATAAACACTGGTCATAATCATCCCAGTGTATAAGGAAGGTGAAATTTGAGTGTTGGGTGTGGCAGTAAATATCCTAAAACACCACCCCTAAATATTTTAAATATAATCAAATGCATTCTCAAAGGGATGCAAAAATTCTAGAAACCTATTGCTTTTGTCCACATGGAGATAGATTCTGACCTGGGTACATTCATCCATTTCCGTAGACTCCCCTAATAATTTCTTAGCTTAATTCACTTTTGCACGTTGGCGGAAAGGTTTCTTAAATAGAAAGAAGTTGCTTTGCTGGTTGAAAGTCAGACGCGGGCAGAAGGTGCTGTGTGTGGCTCCCACCCCTAAATCCTGTCAGGAGCGGGGAAGCCTGTGACTGCGATGGTAATGGGAGACACATCTCTGCTCTCCGAGGCTGAGTTGTGATTGAAGGCACTGACCTGCCATAGACTTATAATAGGGGAGCAGGTGTGGCAATGATGGACTTTAATTTCCTTTAATAAACCTTTTATGTGCCACACTTTTACTGCCATTTGACGCTCTCCAAGGTCCTGCACATAATAGGTTCATTACTTTTGATTACTATAGTCTATTGAGACAAACAACTCCAGAACACACTATATATTATGTTCAGTTAAACCAATATAGACTATTTATCCATTGTGCATTTTTTCACCTGCAACACTACAGACAAAATTAACAGCAGCTCTCGTCAGCTAAAACTATTAAAACCACCAGCACTCTTTTGTCATCATTTCATAATAAACACCACACCGATCATTGAACTGCTTTTTTAAATTAGCAAACAAAAAGTGCACACTGCTTTTGCTGAACAGCAGTTGCTTTCGTCTAAATAAAATGGTTCATTGTTATGAATATTTTAAATTACATAATAAGACAAAACAACAATAAAACAAAGGTGGGGTTTTTTTCTGTAGATTTCCCCCCTCCCCCCCTCTTAAAAACACATGGATTTATGACAGATGTGACACTGGCTAGGATTACAATGGCTTGGTTTACTCAGGATGGTGAGCACTGTGTTGTAAAATCCTCCTCCTCTGTGAGTATCTCTGTTGCATATAAAGTGGCTCAACTCATGCAAACTCCCCTCCATGTGCTAAACGAATAACTAGATTAAGAGAGAATGGTAGCATGGGGGTTAAAATGATGAAAACCATCCACTCTTTCTGAAGAAGCTACTCAACTCAGGTCTAATGCTATTCTGCCACACAGGTGGCATTAGCTCTCCCCAGCCACTGAAAAATTTCCCCAAAAGGCAAGTGAAGGTTGAACTCCCTGAGTTTCTTCCCCAAAATGAAGCGACAGACGGCAAAGAGTACCAGTGGACACAAATTAAAGAGTTTCCGAAACCTACTTAAATGTAACCTTCTTTATAACAGCTTTACGACTAGTTCTATCTATCTATCTATCTATCTATCTATCTATCTATGTGTTTATTTATTTATTTTTAATCCTCATCTGAGGAGCGAGGATATTTTTCCCGTTGATATTTAGAGAGAGTGGAAGGGAGGGGGGAGCAGGGCAGACAGGAGAGGGGAGAGAGAGACATCTATTTGTTGCCTCCTACATACACCCCAACCAGGGACAGGGAATGATTCTACAACCCAGGTATGTGCCCTTGACCAAGAATCAAACCCACGACCCTCCAGTGTGCTTGCTGATGCTCTAACCACTGAACCACACTGACCACACCAGCCAGTACAAGACTACTTTCATTTGCAATTTGGCTATCCAAGGACCTAATGGTTCTTTCATCAACCCATGCAGCCACCTCCCCATGAAGGTCGTTGGAAGGGATGTGTAAATATGCATGGCCCTCTGCTTGACTGGGCTTAGAATGCAGGTTTATAATTGCATGTTGTGGAGCTACTGTCCTCTTGTTGGTGTAGCATGTATGTCCTATATAAATATTGTAAAAGCTGATACTCATTGACACAACTACGTTTTCAGATTTAACTTGTGGGCCAAGTTGTAGGAACAAAGTGGACCAAGGCCATAATATAGAACCTATCTATTTCACCTTCTTTCTCTCCCTCACACCTGAAGAATAAAAGTATGGAAATCAGTGTCCAGTCTTGTCTTATAGTTTGTCAGGGAGTAAGAATATCAGAAACCTAAAGCACAGGTGCTTTTCCTTTGGGGCTGGGGGTGGAAGTTTCTACCATTTATGAGATGGCTCGCTCTCCTCATACATCTCAATCCTATACAATAAAAGGTTAATATGTAAATCGACCAAACAGCAGAACAACCAGTCGCTATGATGCACACTGACCACCAGGGGGCAGACACTCAATGCAGGAGCTGCCCCCTGATGGTCAGTGCTCTCCCACAGGAGGAGCGCCACTCAGCCAGAAGCCGGGCTCACGGCTGGCGAGTGCAGCAGCGGTGGTAGGGGCCTCTCTCGCCTCTGTAGCAGCTCTAGGGACCCCTGAGGGGTCCTGGACTGCGAAAGGGCACAGACTGGGCTGAGGGACCCGTCCCCCCCCCCGCCCCCCACTGCCCCAGTGCATGAATGTCATGCACATAGCCTTAATTTTTGTAAAATCAAACCTCTTATTCAGTGGGTACCTCATTCAGGTAATGGTTGGTGAAAGGCAGAAAGAGACTTGTACCTCGGTGTATATGTTGAGAACTGGGTGGGTGAGGTGAGGATCATCATCTTCCAAATCCTCTCAGATTTATAGAAGAGATACGTGATTATGGTGTGAATCAGGACACTGACCTAAATAACATGGGCCGCAACCTGAAAACGACTTTTCCCATTGGGAACATTGTTGTTTTTCATTGGCAAAGGAGACTTGATCATTTTTACTACTTCAGTCCCAAATGGTATTGGCAAGTCTGCAATTAATTTTATAAAATTTAATGAGTCACTTCTCTTTTCAAAACAGAAATGTGATTTTTCTAAAAAGCTGTCCTTCTCTCAGTTTCTTAGGGCCTTTCTCTATCTCATTCCATGGTTTATAGAGGAAAAAGACAAGATATTTTCTGAGATTCCTATGATTCCTCCTGGCTTTACAGTCTACTTCTCAATAGAGTAATAATATTAAAGGTTGGCTTTGCCACTTATTTTTATTGATCTGAAACTACTTTTTAAAAAGTTTATTTAACTTATAAGTGTGGATACGTTTAATATATAATATAATATTCTATAATATAATATTTACATAGGAAGGAGAAAAAAGTGGTTTTTGCTTGGTGTCTGATTCATAATAAAGGCATGAAGAAATCTGTAAGAACACGTTATTCCCCAGTTCTCTAGGAGGTAATGCAAGGAGAAATGACAGGAGGGAAAAAATTTTAAAATAAAGAAGGCAAAGAAGCAAAGCTTGGAGGAAGGACATGCAAGAACAAACGATGGAAATAAGTAGACAGGCAATGAAGAAGAAAAGTGACCACAAAATAAAATGTAACTACTTAGTTGAATTTGGAAAGTTCTCATTTAACAACCTTATGTACTTATAAACCTATATTCAGGTGCACACAGTCATTTTCTAGTTACTGGTACTTGAGCATCTTTTCTCACTGGTGCTTAGTGCAGTGATGGCGAGCCTATGACACGCGTGTCAGAGGTGACCCGCGAACTCATTTTTTTGGTTGATTTTTCTTTGTTAAATGGCACTTAAATATATAACATAAATATCAAAAATATACATCTTTGTTTTACTATGGTTGCAAAGATCAAAACATTTCTCTATGTGTCACGGCACCAGAGTTAAGTTAGGGTTTTTCAAAATGCTGACACGCCGAGCTCAAAAGGTTCGCCACCACTGGCTTAGTGCTTACATCAGGGACAATCACCTGATCTGTCCACAGCACCCCAGTGCCCAGGTCTGGTACCTTTCTTTGTGCTGATGAGGGAGCCCTGAAATTACCATTTTGTGGGATAGAGAGGCTCAAGAAGCAGGACACATAATTCATAAACTCAATTTTGTTTTTATTCACACAAGTAAATTACTGGTATGCAAGTAGATTTAGTTTGATTTTATTTTCTACTTGTAATCCTATTTTAACCTAATGGTAAAAAATATTCAAGTATATATATTTTTTAATTTTCTGCTTCTCCAATTTATTTATTTACTTTCTTTCAATTTTATGCTGCTTTTGTTTCAGGCGTACAGCGTAGTGGTTAGACAATCATATACTTTCCATCGCGTCCCCTGGATATTTCCAGGACCCCAACTGGCACCCTACATAGTTATCACAGAATTATTCCGTATATTTCCCAAGCTTTACTTACTTCTTAGAAACTATATAAAACAAATCTTTTGGTCATGTTTAAGTCTTATGTCTCCTTCAACAGAACTCTAGACACAGACATCCTCACTGCTCGTTTATCAGTAGTCTTGTGTTTCTTAATCCTATATAATGACAGCCTAATATGCTAAGTGTCCGACCGTTCGACCAGTCGCTATGTGCGTGCTGACCACCAGGGGCAGACTCTCCGACCAGTAGGTTAGCTTGCTGCTGGGGTCCGGCCGATCAGTACTGGATAAGATGGGCCGGACACGCCCTGGAGCCCTCCTACAGTCCCTCCCTGGCCCCGATCGTGCACCGGTGGGGTCCCTTGGCCTGGATTATGCCCTCTTGCAATTCGGGATCCCTCAGGGGATGTTGGAGAGCCGGTTTCGGCCTGATCCCCACAGGCCAGGCCAAGGGACCCCACCAGTGCACGAATCTGTGCACCAGGCCTCTAGTCTTAATATAAAAAGCCATGGTGATCATAAGGTTTTAAGGACACTTTCTCAACATCCTTATATAGTTCATCATAATACTGTCTAGGTATATATAGTCTTATGCAGGAAGCTACTTCACATTTGAAAAGTCCTTCACATACATTCAACCTGTAATCATTTCCATGTTTAACCAGATTGCATTGTGTTCCCCTCCTGGTATATTTGAACTGATGACGTAGTTTTGTATGTTGTGTCACATTCATCTGTGTGATGTCCTCTCAGTCCAGGAGCTCTCATTGCAGTGGGGAGAGGAAGTGCCAGGGTCCTCTCTATGAGGAGCCCTTAACCCTTTTAACTTCCTTTAGAAGGATCAATTTTTTTAAATGACAAAGAGAGACTCAGGAAGTCGGAAAAGACTAAACTCCCCCTCCCCCCACCCCAAAAAAAAAAATGAAACAACTAGATGATGCCAGTACCTTGGAATAAAACTTGGCGAGGCTAAGAACAAGGAACCCTACAGTGAGCACCCTTTCTTTGGATAATTCTGCCACCGTTTTGTTTGAACACAGCTTTGGATCAGCCCAAAATGGCAGGGAAAGATGTTTGTTTCTTGATACACAGGACAACATGGAAGGAAATAAGTTGTGATTCTAAAGGAATAGTTGACTTACCAAGAGGAACCCTAAGACAGAATGTTCAAGGATATTTTTCTCTGTTTGTATCCTCTGCTTACTTTTCTGGGTGTTTTTTTTTCATACATTTATTAATAGGAAGAGCAATTCAGAAAATAAATATTCAAGAGTCTAACCTAATAAAACAGGATTTTTATATCATTTGTGACAACACATATATATAATCTTTTAAATCGTTTCTGAATTCTTTATCCTAAATAAAATATTTTCTGAATCTTTTGTTCAGGGCACACTGACCCTGATTTCAACTCTCTGTTCCTATCTGTCTCTTCTTGTTCTGTCTGACTCTGTAGAAAGCCAAGGAATTGCATAATGTCTACCCTTCACATGTATGATACCTCTCCTTGTCTCCACGAACCCCTCTTATGCCCAACAAGCACCATACTGAAAGGAAGGAGCAGGTCTGGTCTGCTCCCAGATTCAGCACGGTTCTCTGGGAATAGCTCTTCGCCAGGGCCAAGTGCATGCACATTTCCCAGAGACAAGGTGATTTTCTAGAGCCACTTGGACATGCACTGCACTGAAGAAACCTTAAACCTGAGACCAGCTGGTGGGCATTCTAAGGAGGCTGATCTATTTTGAGTCTCACTTCTCGTTTCTGAGTCGTCACTGCTGTTGTAGACTTCATCCTGCAACTTTGCACAACTGGCAATGCTGAACATAAACCAAAGCCATATGTTTGTGTCCTTTTGCCAAACGACTCCAGCAAATAGTCCTATTATTCCCTTAGGTAGCCAACGTGTGCCAAGGTTTTCTATTAGTTGCTGTAGTGGCCTCTGAGTCACAGCTTTGTAACATAAGGGGGTAATTGCGGGCTTTATGTTTTAGGAGTCATTTTTTTTTTTTGGTGTATTTTTTAGTGGCCCTATTTATAAAGAACTCAGAGTTAGTAACACCTTAAAAGGGCCTTGATTTTTTTCTTATTGATATTTTGTGATGCATGTGTTGCAAAATAGGTAAATGCTAGCAAACAAGTTCCTTTATATATGGATAAATTATTTTAAATAAATTTTTCTCCCAAGGACAACCCAATTCCTTACTTGTCAGTGTTTGGAGGAATTAACTCTACACATCATATAGTGTTTAAAACATGATTTAAAAATATATCACTTATTTACTTTTAATCCTTAAGTACTAATTTTCTAATAAAAATGAATCTAAATTGAATTTTTAAAACTTTTCTTTAACACTGAACCTTTCTTTAAGGGCAAATCTGTGGACAAATAACACATCCCAATCAATATGTAAAAGGTTTTTATTAGGCACAGAGGACTTCTTCACCTGCTTGATGTTTTTCAATATCAAAGTGACCATGTTTCTGACAAAAATCACACTTCTAAATTCAGCACTAAGAAAAAAAATTTTTCAAAGCAAATTCACAGAGATAAAGCACTGCTATACAGGAAAGCCTTTATATACATGCTTTGATTGGATTCGTTTTCTTTCACTAGATGATACTTTTTCATAAAAATGTTGCCTTACCTCTCTGTTTCTCCAGGTAACTTGTATGCCAACTTGGTTTGTCCTGCTTCGTTCAAGTGACCAAATGTCTCTGCCCGCTTCAGTGAGAAATCCTAAAATTCATTCTATTAAGACGAAAGAAGGGAAGTCTATCAGGTAGGGCAAGTAAAATAGATCAGTAATAAGCACTGAAGTGAACAATGAATGATGTGCTGACACTTTTACTTATCATTCAGTTGGACTAGACCAGTGGTCGGCAAACTCAATAGTCAACAGAGCCAAATATCAACAGTACAACGACTGAAATTTCTTTTGGAAACCAAATTTTTTAAACTTAAACTATATAGGTAGGTACATTGTTATTAACTTAATTAGGGTACTCCTAAGGCTCAGGAAGAGCCATATTCAAGGGGCCAAAGAGCCGCACGTGGCTCGCGAGCCGCAGTTTGCCAACCACTGGCCTATACTATAAAAAATGTATACTATATATCAGTGTAAAAACATGTTTACTTTTTCAAAGGTAGGCCAAATTCCTTTTTCGTCTTTATTACCAAACTATATATAAATTATGTCTTCAATTTACCAGGGAAAGTGGGTAAGAAAGACTCCCTTTAGCACTGTTATTTTACTTCTAACCACCAAAAGAGAGCGTTCAGACAAGCTTTGGGGTGTGCTACACTCAAGTCACAGAAGACAGATGGAAATGCAGCCTGTTGGTATCCAGGGCTCTCTTGGACGAGGCTGTCCTAAAACGCGACTAATTCTTCTTGCCACTGTGTTAACCTGTTTTCCAGGAAGCAACTTGCCCTTGGTTTACTTTGCGTTCAGACAGAACGCACGGAGCTGTATCACTTCTACTTGGTCTCGGGGATAAGAACAGAATCTGTCTGCAAGCACACCGTGTGGCCCTTGAGAGAAAACTCTGAAATTCGGGGCAGTACACTCAGCATGTGAGCGGGGCTGTTCATACAAACATCACGTATATCACCCAGACCTAACATGTTTTCTCTCTGGCAGTTCTGGGATTGTAAAGCACACACCACCAACCTTCCTTGCCGATTTCTCTCGTCTCGTCCTGTGTTTTACCCTTTGCAGTGGATTGAAGTGACCGGCTTCTGAACCATAGATTTCTCGGTGACTTGCAAGGTTTGACCACACATTAAGCAGATGCTTCTTCAACTCCAGTCAGCAACTGTGGCTCCTGGGAGAAGAGGGATGAAACTCTCTCAAGTGCTAGAGTAGACCACTGCCAGGATGAAAGAATTGAAAAGTCGCCTGGGAGTTGGGGAATTCTTAGTTTGTGGTCGATGGCAGCCAAAAATACATAAAAAGACCTTCTCTGCAAATGCGTTTGGCTTACTCTGCTTCGCCCTCGGTTCAGAAGGAGTTCTGAAGCTTCCCACCTGCCCATTCCCCTTTGTCTGCCAGACTCGAACCTAAAACAAAAGATCCTGGAAAACAGTCACAAAGCTCCTTCTAAATCCTGAAAGTAATGGCTTTCTGTCTAATGCCCTATCGTGGTATGTATTTATTAGCAATACATTTTCCATTTATTTTCTCAAAGATTGCCAATAAAGAACGGAATCGCATAAGGGAGTAGCTGTAAACCCTCCGAGTTCCCTAATGTCAAAGTCATTAGCATCCGAATAAGCACACAGCAGCATATCATCTGCACAATTGCCATTTTTTTTACTACTTTTAATAGCGTTTCTCAGAGGGCTCATTTTCAACTTTCTTCAGTGGTTAGTTGGTTCCCAGGGGAAAAGCAGCTTCCTGATGCTTGCCGCTTCCACCCAGCAAGCCGGCCGTTTGCTGTCAGACGCACCAGGCCTCTGCCCTAACCCCATCTGCTGTCTCTCCCCTCCCCGGGGACGAGAGTGAAGGCTGCACAGCTGAGATCGACTTGGAGAAGTGGGCAGAGGGCTGGGACAAAATGCGACTTTAGAAACGTGATCTGACACACACAGGCTCGAAAGGCCCAAGTACACAAAATACATACGGAAAGTGCAAGCCCTTCAGAGGCTCCTCATTGCCTGTGTCCATCAACACTAACGCCACCCACCCTCTTACCTGATGCCGCTGAAATCGGTTCCCTCCATCCCCTGCATGGGCCCTGTTATTATAATACTTTAAAGGCAATCCCTTTAAAGCCCCATCTTTATTAATTGCCACACTTTAATCTCCTCTGCTCATCTTAAACCATTTTATAACACCTAAGGTCTTACTAAAATATTTATGGAAAATACTCATTTTGGAAGGCAGTTAACCTGGTCAAGACTTGGGATCTTGACCAAGCTCCCACACCAGGCAGCAGAGTTAGTTCTAGCTACACATTGAAGCTCGTATTTTTATAAAACAGCAATCGTAAGAGATAAAACTGCATGGCAACTAAGGTGTTGGTAATCTAATGGGCTACAAAATCTTTACATGTGCACTCTAATTAAGGCATGTCTCTACAGCCCTGGGCAGTGTTTCTCAGTGGTTAGAGCCAAAGGATCTCAGGTTCGACTCCCCGTCAAGGGCACGTACCTGAGTTGCAGGTTTGATCCCTAGCCCTGGTCAGAGTTGGGTGCAGGAGGCAACCAATCCATGCGTCTCTCACACATCAATGTTTCTCTCTCCCCCCCTTCTCTCTCTTCCTCCCTCCCTCCCTTCAACTCGCTCTAAAAATTAATAGAAAAAAATATCCTCGGGAGGATTAACAAAACAAAGGCAGGGCTTTCCTTGTTTAATGGAGTCATCACAAAGTACTCCATTTGTGGGCTTTACTATGTGCCAATAATTAGGGACTCAGTTCTTCACAGCTGCTTCCTGGGTGAGTCCCTGCTTCTGAAAAAGCTTTTTAAACCTATGATACCATGTAATGAATCTGCTGTGTTGCTAAAAGAAAAAAAAAGGCATATCAGATGATATTTGATTGGGGGGCGGTGAATGACCTAAAGTGAGACGATGTATATGTCAGTTGTATCCTTAAAGCAGAGAATCATAGATTTACCTGTCTTTCCAAACAAAACAAAAAACAAAACAAACAAACAAACAAACAAAACAGGAAATAAAATACTGCAGCATTTTTTTAAAAATCCTCCAACTAGACTCAAAGTAAAAAATTGGATGCGAAGACGAATAAATGTAATGTGAAATGCATGTGGCACTTGTAGCCCTGAAACATAACTAAGATGAGCTCACCACAACCGCCCACTCGTTCCTGGGATTGCTGGTCTATTTCAGTCCGGTTGCAAAGGCACAGCAGGGTCCCCTCAGAAATTTGGAAAGTGAATACAAGCTCCAAAGACCACGCCCGGCCAGAATTAGTGTCTTAAGAAGTAAAATAAAAGCAGAAGCATGCCAGCACGTTTACCTTCGCATGGCCACCTCCAGAGGCCCCGCCTCCACAACTTCTAATAGTTCCAGTCTCTTAATCACTCTTCCAACCTTAACATCTCCACCAATTGTTCACTATTTGGAATGATGGAGGGCGGGGAGGGGGGGGGGGTGGTTCTCCTCACGTGTTTATTTTTGTGAATGGCAAAGCAAGTCCTTTGCAGCTCTAAGTGTCCAGGTTTATTTTTATATTTATCAATATGATATTTTAAGTTAGAGTTCAACTTCGTATAAACTTTAATGATATCTTTGCCCGGACAATCAAATTCTTCGGTTTTCCATTTCCCATTTTGCTGTATTAAATTTCCCATGAACATGTAAGCCCCTTACTTCAGAGTTTCTGATCAATGAGCTGTAGAATTGTGTTTTTTCCCCCATTATAGCAAGAGACATTTAGAAATTGATTCATAAAAATTCTGTAAACCTGTTGCCACTTTATGCTTATGCCTCACAGATGACGTTCTACTTAGCTCTCCAGGTCGGTATTCGGCATATGCTGCATTGGCTGGAGCCGATGAAGAGAAGTGGTGAGTTTCATGTAAGTTGCTTTAGGCAAAAAGAAACACTGTGGCCCTAGCTGGTTTTGCTCAGTGGATAGAGCATTGGCCTTTGGACTGAGGGTCCGGGGTTCGATTCGGTCAAGGGCACATGCCTGGAGTTGTGGGCTCAATCCCCAGTAGGGGGCATGCAGGAGGCAGCCGATCAATGATTCTCTCTCATCATTGATGTTTCTCTCTCTCTCTCCCTCTCCCTTCCTCTCTGAAATCAAAAAGGAAAGAAAGGAGAGAGGAGAGGGAAGGAGAGAGGAGGGGAGGAGAGAGAGGGGAAGAGAAGGGAGAGGGGAAAAAGGGGGAGGGGAGGGGAGAACACTGAGATGGGCCACAAGCTTTCCGTTTACCATCAGCCCATCTTCAGGCCCCTGATCCCAGTAGGAGCAGAAAAAGAGCGTCCTCGGCATGAACTGCCCTGCAGGAGAACTGCTGGCATTGCAGGGTGAGCCAGTGGTACCCCTTACTCTCAGGGAGGATGTTGGGGTTTTAAATCATTACATAGTCAACCGGATTAAGTCTTTGATATTAGCAATCAGGTTGCTTTTCACGATCCATTGTGAACATTTTTTGGCTTCCCCAAGTGGCCACTGAAGTTCAAATGTAAATAAAACTTCTTGTTATTCAGTATAGTTTGTCCTCTGAAAAGAACAAAAACTGGAATTGATCCATGAACAAAATTTCCACGGGTGGATTTCATCGGTTTTTACTGGTTTGCCCAGGTTTATGAAATTCTCTGCCCTGCAGTCTTTTTTCAAGGAATTCTAAGCACAAGGAGTGCTAAGGCAACTCTGCTCTCCCAGGAAAACGCAATTTTTGTTTTGCAAATTGCGGAAGTCATACGGATCACCCAAGCATCAAAACAACTCCCCTTCCGCTGCACTGTCTATGAAGTAATTGTTCTTGTCCTAGCAGGCATTAGAGTATTTGTATTTGTCCTTCCAGCACCTGTAAAACGAGAACACGGGCCTCTTCTCCCTAAACTCGCAAGCAACACCAATAACTTGTGCAAGACCTGTATTTCTCAGGGCAAGAGGATTTGACTTTCACCTGATTTAAGTAACAAAACAGCCTCAAAGATATCTCAAGCCTTGCTGGGATTAACATAACTGCATTTAGATGCCATTCATGACTGATAATTCCAACACCTTGTGGGGGGAAAAGTTGCATGCTGTAAACATTATAAACATATTCAAAT